CTCCTCCTCTTCCTCCTCCTCTTTGCCTTCTTTTCCCCGCCGCCGTCGCCGCCGCTGCTTGAGTCGCTCTGGCTGCGGGGCGCCTCGCTAATGGCCGCCTTCCGCCCCTCCTCAGCCGCGCCGTCGGACGAGCAGAGTCGCCTCGAGAACTGGACGGTGCTGGATGAGTTCACGGCGCCGGCGGAGAAGAGCGGCTTCCTGGAGCGGAGCCGCGGCGGCCTCGAGCGGCTCTTCGGGGTCCGCCTGGCCCTCTTGGAGGCGGCGGGCGGCGGAGTCGTCGGCGGCTGGGCTCCCTCGGACACCGGCGGGCGCAGGATCTGGCTCAGCCTGCTGGGCGAACGGGAGCAAGTGCGCAGCGCCAAGGTAGGCCGGACCGGGTGTGTGTGTGTGTGGGGGGGTGAGCCCCAAGAGAGGCCTGGCCTTGGCGAGAGATGCCTGCGGAGAGTCTACCTAGTATAGCTGGTCCTCGACTTACAGTGGTTCGTTTAGTGGCCGTTCAGTTACAAAGGGCACTGAAAGCAAATCCAATAGCCCCTTTAGACTTATATACCGCTTCACAGTGCTTTACAGCCCTCTCAAAGCGGTTTACAGAGTCAGCCTCTTGCCCCCAACAATCTGGGTCCTCATTTTATCCACCTCGGAAGGATGGAAGGCTGAGTCAACCTGGAGCTGGTTCAGGATCGAACTCCTGGCTGTGGGCAGAGCCTGCCATACTGTATTCTAACAATTGTAACACGAAGGGAGGAGAGGGAGGAGGAGAAACTGGAAGGAAGGAAGGGATAGCACTAGCCCTTAGACTTATATACCGCTTCACAGTGCTTTACAGCCCTCTTTAAGCGGTCAGTCTCTTGTCCCCAACAACCTGGGTCCTCATTTTATCGACCTCGGAAGGATGGAAGGCTGAGTCAACCTTGAGCCAGTCAGGATCAAACTGCTGACAGTAGGCAGAGTCAGCCTGCAGTACTGCATTCTAACCATTGTACCACCAGGGAAAGAAGGAAGGAAGGAATAATAATAGACTTATATACCGCTTTACAATGCTTTACAGCCCTCTCTAAGCGGTTTACAGAGTCGGCCTCTTGCCCTCAACAATCTGGGTCCTCATTTTACCAACCTGGGAAGGATGGAAGGCTGAGTCAACCTGGGTGACTGTTTGTCACACTTGGGACCATTGCAGCATCCCCACGGTTGATAACAAATCAAGTTTATTAACCGTCAGAAAGCCAGAGACCAGAATGAATAAATACTCTCAATAAATATCCAGTTAGAAATTTCTAGATGAAAATAATTGGTAACAGATAAAAATCCATATTGAAATCACAATTCAGCATCCTGCCTGTCAGTGACAGGTGGCCTAACTCTACTACGGTATAATATCTATCCATAGAGGCCCCTGGTCATTACATACTAAAATGCAAAAACAAAAAAAGTAATGCAAAAGGGCTTTGCTACTTTAGTTGTGTAAATCACTATGGTGGATTAATCTAGCTACCCGCACGTAATCAAAATTCGGATGTTTGGCAAACTGGTTAGTATTTATGACAGGTTGGGGTCACGTGATCCCCTTCTGAGACAAGCAAAATCAACGGGGACGCCAGGTTCACTTAACAACCGTGTTCCCAACTTGAACAGCTGCCGTGCTTCGCTTAACAACTGTGGCAAGAAAGGCCACATAACGGGACAACTTTCGCTTAGCAAACGTCTCGCTTAGCAACAGAAATTTGGGGCTCAAGAACGATCTGTGGTTCTCTAGGTTCTGAGTCAAAGACTTCAAATGTCTGTGGAGATTCTCAGGTCATTGGTTGTCCCAAAGGTGCTTTTTTCATCTTTCCTTGAAGAAACGTCTTCAAAGAAAAACAAAGTCCAGTTGCCTCTTGCAAAAAAGTACCTTTGGGTCAAAGACTTTAACTGTTGTGGATCCTGGATATTTAAGTTGCCAGCACTGAACTCTGGACAATTTCATTTTTTCTCTCTCGTGTACAGTGACGGTAGAACTTGGATATTAAATTGACTGTGTATTTTACACCTCTCGGATGAGATAGAGAGGCTGGGAGATGGAGCAAAGAGAGAGGAGGCATAAACAATCCAGATAACAGGGGAGCCAGCTGGTAGCTAATCTCATCAATGAATGCCAGCTTTGTCCAGATGAAAAGAGTCTCACTTCTCGTCCAAGAAACAGCTTCCGGTTTAACTGAATAGTGGGGAACAGAAGGATTATTTGCACTCTGAAACGTTTTCAATGGGGAAAAAACCCAAGAAAGTCCAGTTGCCTTTTGAAAAGCACCTTTGGGATGACTTGAGGCACTGCCTTTCCCTGGTTCCCTCTCCCCCTCCCAAAAGGACCCTACCTGCTAGGGAGCTTTGTTTGATAGGTCTCTGGAAGAGAGCCTTTTCTGTCCTGGCCCCTCTTGGGACATCGTTTCTCCCCCAATCCCCGACTTATTGACCTTCCAGAGGGCCTCACCAAACATAGGTTTTGTTAGAAGAGGATTTTGTGTGGGTCAGGGCTGAACAGTGCTCTTTGGTTGGGAGATCAATTAAGCAGAAAACAATTCTCCAATCAAGGAACTAGTCAGACAAACAGTAAACAACAGCCTAATCAAGGAACCACTAGGAAGAAAACAATACTCCACCAATATTGACTGGGCAAGCCACTTGTACATAAACAGAGAGCAAACTGGAGTCTCTTTTAGGACTGATGATACTATCTAGTTTGGTCATGAAATATCTGCAAGAAAACAACCAAGCTCAGAGAGGATCAAAGATCCCATTGTTCAACCCTGAGCTACAAATACCCCCTTCTATTGGCACTTGTATATAAACAAAGCAAATCCCAGTCCTTTCTAGCCCTGCTGATGTTACCTAGCTGGGTGGTGAAACGTCTGCGAGAAGAAGAAAAAAACCAAGCTCAGAGACTGACCCAGCTGACTGCTCGTCTTGAGGGCTGTAATTTACCTTCAAGATTATTTGCAGGAAATAGTACAATCTCGTATTTGTGTACATCAGCAGATTTCACACGTATGCCTCTCTATATCTGTGACAGAGATGTCTGCATCAAGATGAAATATGAGAGGAAATGAATTAATTATAATCTCTTCCCTGAAAGACTCTAGGCTTGTGGCAGAACAATAACCAAATGATTGTGAGACAGAGGTCCTTTTACATGGAGATGGGACAATCAGTTCCGTTCCTTTGGATTCCAAGGGAGTCAATGTCATTTGGCTTTCATCATTGGCTGAAAGAAGAATGGTCTCCGAGAAGCTGTATTCTTCCTGCCTTCCAGAAAAAATCTCCCTCTAACCATTCACCAGCCTGACCTCTCCATTGGACACAGAGCCAAAACTGGGACAAAACTTTCATAGCAGAAAAACACTGAACAAAGAAGCAGGCACACCTCGTTGTGATGTTGCTAGCAACTGTGTTTATTGAGGGCTGGGCCTCTTTCAGAAAAGAAGAATTGCCATGGTTTATTATAGGGCTAAGCAAGAATGTGTCCTGTATCTTGTCTGTTTTTTGCCATAGGAAAGATGGTTGAGCAGGCAGGAAGAATAAGCCCATTTAGCCTAGTGGTGTCTACGCAAACCGGTAGTAGTTCCCTAGGTTCTGAAGCAAAGACTTGAATGTTATGGATCCTTGATCTTTAGGATGCCAGGCATTGAAATTTGGACAATTTCTTTTTTTCCCCTCCTGCATTGTACAGTGTCTGTAGAATTTGGATATTAGCCAGCTGTTTATTTTACATCTCTTGCAAGGGATAGAGATTGTGAGGTAGCTGGGAAACAGATGGAAGAGAGAGGAAGCATAAACAATCGAAAGATAAAACGGATGAGCTAGTGGACAGCTTATCTCATCCACACTACCTTTGTCCAGATGAAAAGAAAACTGGGAAGACGTTTTTCAAATCAAAGAGACTTCTATTCATTTACTGTAAATACTCACTTTAATTTACCCATTATAAATGATGCTGGGAATTTTTTCTTATTTACCCCACGTTAGCATTGAGGATATTTTAGTAAAATTTCTGTACAGTACTTCTTCCCTGATCTTTCTTAGCTGTTTCATGTTTAACAGAGATAATGTTCAAGACTGCCTCTCATTCGTGACCACCTCTTCTTTCTCGTGCTCTGGCTAAGCCTTAAATAATAATATTTGTAATTTAAGATTTCACTCTGGTTTTAAATAAAGGTTTAACTGTTTCAGTGGAAAGAAAGCAGGCCTTCCCTAATGGAGCCTCATAAAATCACCACAAAACAGTGTTCTCCTACCCAACAATGTTTTGACAGTGAAATTGACCTCAGAGTGGTTCATAAATTCCTGGGTATTTATGTTCATATAACAAAGAGCATGTCAGGTCTTTTATTTAGGGCTTCTGATAGGTGTTTCTGTTTTTGGAATACCTGTATTAATACAACTATTTGAGTATAGATCATGGAGTGAGTTAGATTGCTTAAAAAAAAAAAAGCACAGGCCCAAAAAGACTTGAGCTGGTAACTGGTGAACAGATATTTGAGGTGCCTTGCAGGAAAGTATGCACGTCCAAGTATCTCTAAGTATAAGAGATGAAAAGGGGAGAAAGTTACAGACATGAAAATATTGCTTCGTTGTGTCTCTTTCTAAGGCTGAGTAGTAGTAAATTGTAATGTCTTGATTTCCAAGGGTAGGACCAGAATCCTACCAGTTATGTACAGAGCCTACAGAAGTAGTTTATGCATTTGGAAATCCTTATCCAGGAGGAAGGAAGAATTCTTAGCATGTGCTTTATCATCATGATTTAACCATTAGTAAGTGCCTCATTTGCCTATTTGAGAACCAAAGTGTCACAGAAGTCTCATTCATCCGGAAACTGGAACTGGCGCTCAGATGGCCCAGACTTTGCTCTGTCACACACCGTCCCTCTGAAAGTCAGAGTGAGGACAAAGGTCCATTTTATGCAGGTCTTTTGGTCCCCTTGCTAATATTATCTCCCGAGATTTTGAATTTATAATTATAAAGCACCCGCAGGTTCGTTTGATTTGGAGAAATTCCTTTTCACACTGGCAAAAAGAAAAATAAAACTATGGAAAGAGCTTGGCACCACAATATGTTCTTCTGTTTAAACTGTTCTAATATTGTCAGTCCAACTGGTGAAACAGGGGAAAGGAGATGATGAGCAGAATTAGTAATAATAAATCCAGGCATAGTGATCTCATGTCTTTGGTTTACAGCAGAAATTCTCTATCTGAAAGGGTCTGTGATTTTTTTAGGATGGTTGCTGGGTTTGAGTTCAAAACCAAACTGATTTCATCCACATCTTCCAAAACAAAAGCACTTTGGACCTTGGATAGTGTCTTTCATACAGGTGGGAAAAAAGTCATATGCCCAACTTGGCTGTTCTGCATGTTCCCTGATCAGTGTAGTGTAGGGCTTTCATAACTAGGATTTCTGCCCCATTCTTTAACCTTCCAGGAATCCAGAAATATGTTATATAAACTGGTGATTTGTTGGACAGCTCCTATTTTGCTTTTCCCAATTCATGAATCAACCGCAGTTCGAGCAAGAGATTTGTTCAGATCAAAGTGGTACAATATCACATTTATAAATAGAATATTAACAGAAGGCATTTTCCTAGCTATCATTCATCTAACATTTGAAGGCAGAATTATTCCAATTATTCTTCTTTAGGTCTCCCGGCCATTTGTGGGTTTTCTTTGAAAGTCGGTATTGACTTGCAACTAGAAATAAACTAGGAATGTGCACACAGCGTTTAACATCACTGTGTTGTAATCATTTAGCCAGGTCATCCCATATTTTGAACTAGTTAAAATTTCCGGCTATGTCATCTTGGAGGATAGTCTCATGAATGGTTTATGGTTGACAATGAGAAAGACAAGACTTTCCTTGGCCGAACTGGATGTCCACCAGTGTTCACCTTTCCTGCTGAATAGTCCTTTGAAAATAGGAATAAGTGTACAAATTAGAAACCTCAGACTTTTGATGTCAATCAGTTGCCCAACTGCAAAAGCATTTGAGCTTACACAATTTTAACTAGGAACTCTTTTATACTTCCAGGGTAAAACCGGAATGTTGCAATACTTATTGCTTCAGTAGTAAACATAAAAGACGATATCTTTGAAAACTGTAGGCGTGATAGAGATGTGAGAACTGTGGTTACTTCCAAAGCCAGTAGAATGGTCTGTTTTTCAGAATCTGAGGGCCACCATAGCTGCTTCTGCTGTTTGTACACTGAAGCCATTTTCCTTTACATTTCCTTTACCTCCATATTCTTTTACTAGTAAAATCTGGAATATGATCAGCTGTATTAAAATGGTATAAGATGGGTATGTGGGTCATAGGCAGAAACTACTATTAGCGGAACCAGATTTTTCTCTTATATGAAAACTCAAGTCATTCTTTGCTGTTTCATAGGAAATGGTTTGGATAGTACAAGAGTAAAAATCAGATATGCATAGAGTATTTTTGGTATTTTGGCTTAGGTTAGGATTGGGCAATGCTTCCTAAACAAGAGGGAAGCAAAGCCAAAGAGGCACCTTATTTAGAGTTTGCAGCCATGGGTTCTTTGGACTGTAAAGAGATTTTCCCATGGTTCCAGTTGTGCTTAAAAGTGAAAAACTGGAATAATTTTCAAATATAATTAGGGGATTGAAAGCTAAAACATACAAAGAAGGGTTGCAGGAATTGGATATATCTAGTTTAATGAAAAGAAGGACTAGAGGTGACATGATAGAAGTGTTCCAATATTTGAGAGGCTGCCACAAAGAAAAGGGAGTCAACCTATTCTCCCAATCTCCCGAAGGCAGGACAAGAAGCAATGGATGGAAACTAATCAAGGAGAGAAGCAACCTAGAACTAAGGAGAAATTTCCTCACAGTGAGAACAATTAACCAGTGGAGCAACTTTTCTCCAGAAGTTGCGGATGCTCCATCACTTGAGGTTTTCAAGAAAGGGAATAATGCAAGTTATAGTAGGGAAGGGTATTGTAGATAATTCTGTTAGGTGATGAGAACATGCTAGAAATGGCATCCAAGTGATATTTGTGAATGGAAATGTCTTGGTTAAGTAATTCATTTCTCATGAAATTCATCATTCCAGGTGTTGTAAAAATAGAAAGGTCATCTTGAAATGAAACTAATGAGCTGGTGAGCCAAATTCAGAGAAGTTCCATAAACGCTAAATGAGATTAGCACGGATTTTTAAACTAATACAGATCTCCGAAGACTTTGTCTGCATTCATCTACTTTTCTGCATAATATTCCTTTACAGACATCTTTGGTTTAGCAAGCACATCCTTGTGAAAAGAGTCAGTTGACAGCAGGGAAGCTACAGATAATCCGTGTACGTTCTCATGATGTGCATAGGCCTCCTCTGATAGCCCTTCTAGAAAATGAAGGCTTGGCTAATGATTTTTTCTGGCATTCTCCTGAATGAGTTGTTTGCCTTCTTAGTATTTGCAGCTACTATAAAAAGATCCCTTTGGGGCACAATTCAATTATGATACTACATTTCTTCCTATTTTTCTCAGCACTCGAGTATAAATGTTAGATAATTAGATCCGGAAAGCTTTTTTATGTTGTTAGAATTGAAGAGCAAGGTTAGCACAGAGCAACACAAACAAGATAAAGGGGTCAAATTACACTTCAAGGTGCAATACGACTCTTTCATACGAGATCTGATTGACTCATTGGGCAGAAGGGTTTCTCCTTAGATTTCTCCTAACAACCTAATTTAAGGATTCTTCTCTCTCCCATCCATTTTGTTAAAAAAAAAAATGATGATAGTCTTATTAAGATTGTTTTCACCTGTACTGTTTGCTTGAAATCTGCTCTCAGCTCCTCCAGGAGGAAGAGTAATAAAAACAATGTAATCCTATTGACAGAATGTAGAGTTGTAGCTTTTTAATAAGGCACAAATTTCAGAAGCTGAACTGTCGCCTTCATTTATGATTTCTCTTCCCCTCCCCCCTTCCCCCCCCCCTTTTTTGTAGGAATATATTAAAGGAATCTGTGAACCCGAATTGGAAGAGAGGGAATATTATCCCAAAGACATGCACTGTATTTTTGTAGGAGCACAAAACCTCTTCCTGAATTGCCTTATTCAGGGCACCTCTGCCGATATTACTGTGGTGGAGATCGGGACACTCGGTATTAAAGGCCGGACAGAACCAGTGGTCATGGCCAGGAGCCACATCCAGCAGTTTGTGAACCTCTTCAAAAGCAACCTCAACGACTTGACGATCCAGGAGTCGGAAGTGAAGAAACAGTTCAAACGTCTCGTCGAAGCTCACGCAGATAAATACACGATGGACTTGTTGATCCTACCGAGCTCGCTGAAGAAAGAGCTGCTGAGCCTCGCGCAGCACGAAGGCGGCAAAGCGGAAGGCAGAACTGCAGATCCTGGCCCTTCCAATGAGACGTTAAAGCACCCAACTCAGACGCAGAAACTACCCGTAGTAAGCAGCGATGGCAGAACAGGTCAGGAGGAAGCGAGGAACAACGCAGGTACACCGGTCTCCGAATTAGCCAAGCAAATGGACACTGTTTTTCCCGATAAGACCGAAGGGCATTTTTTACCCATAAACGGTCTAACTTCACTGGAGGCTTCTGCCTCGAAAGAAAGGCAGTCGTGTAAACGAAGATCCTCGGATGGGGACGAGAGGCTTCCAAAGAAACAGTTTTCTTTTGAAAACAACCAGAAATCTAAGCAGATGCCCTGCCAAAGACATGACGACATAGTGGTGATAGACTTGGTCTCAGATACAAGCGACTTAGATGATGGTAAAAACGGCGATGAAATAAGCGAGGAGATGGAATACAAGATCCTGGTCAATTTTTTCAAAAGCATGGGCTACTCTGAGGAAATTGTAGAAATGGTGATCGTTGAGCACGGACAGTTGGCTGAGCCCCTACTCCTCCTCGAAGAAATTGAGAAAAAGAGCAAGATGGTTGCGGAAGAGGAAGAGAAGGCCAGAGCTGTCTCCCAGAATCTGGAAACCCAAACGAAGAAAAATAAAAGCGGCACGGGCACCAGAGTCCACCCAGATCTAAGCTGTCAATCGGAGCCACCCCAAAATGCAAACGTCGCCTATGTTTCCCAAGTACCCCACAAAGACAAAATCCGTGGATCGGACCCTGAAAACCGCGCCCCTCTTTTAGGTCACAAAAACTCCTCGAATAAAGAGCTCAGCAAAATACAGTCCGGGTGTTCAGAACAGGGTACCAGGGTGAGCGAGGAAGAAAATGATGGTGTTGTGAACGCCTCCAGTAATGCTCTCATGGCAGCCAAAAATAAGAAAGCCAAAGATCCGATCATGGTAGCCAGGGGTGGCTGGGAGAGCGCGCACCCCCCCGTTGAGAGAGAAAACCTGGTTCTTCGAGGGAGTTCCAACCAATCACCGACGACGCACGACCAACAGGAAAACTGCAATCCCGTGCGGCTGGGAGGACAGCAGTTCCCTTCCCAAAAATCAAAGCCCTTTGGAGACCCCACCCCTCCTTTGCAACTGAGAAGTTCTTACCCAGAAAAGAAAACGGGGGGACTTTACGGTCCTCCGGCAGATCCTTCGGTCACTGGGGTCCAGAGGTTTCTAGAGGCGTTGAAAACACCGTTCAAGCTGGAACTGAAAAATGAGCCAGGGGGACCCCACTTAAAATACGTGGTGATAGATGGCAGCAACGTGGCAATTTCGTGAGTATGGACGAACCTTACATTTCTAGATGCCCGTAGAGTGAAGGAGGATGGGGAAGGGGCAGGGAACGAAAGAAGGGCGAGAACGATAAAAAGAGTTTTTCTTGGGGAGGAAATAACTTGAGATGTGCTTCTGTCTTTAACTTGGGTTTGAAATTGCAGCTTTTCTGAATTTGAAAAAAACAACCTGTTATCTCAAACTTGATTTAGCTCTAAAACCCAAAGCAGCTTCCCGTAGTTCACCCGTGGTTCATAAGTGAATTAAAAATATAATGGAAAGGTCCTTTTCTGCCCTCATGTGCCATAGTTGGAATTTCCCATTAAGTTTTATAGGTCTGTTGGCATCCACATCACCTTAAGAATGCATAATAATAATAATCCCTTAGGCTGCAACTGGCCCCCTGCTTTCTTGCTTATATTTACATCCTCTGCTACTTCCTTCCCCTACTTCCCTCTTGGATAATCCCCATGATGCATGTTTAAATTAGCATGGGAGGGTACCTTGCACTGTGCTAACTGTTGCTTGGATTCCATCCGCTGGCAGTTGAAATAAACCAAAGTTACACAGAAACATGTTTGCACTGTTAGGTAACTTTATTTGCTTTAGGTGTATTTGCAGAAGGGAACATTATTTGAGGATTTGTTTTAGTTTTTCTTTAGCAATAGCCCTTAAGACTTCATGGTGCTTCTCATCCCTCTCTAAGTGGTTGACAGAGTCAGCCTATTGCCCCCATCAGTCTGGGTCCTCATTTTACCAACCTTGGAAGGACGGAAGGCTGAGTCAACCTTAAATTTTTCAGAATCGCATTCCTGGGGTGGACAGTGAGTCAGCTTGCAGTACTTACAGGGATTACTGCCACACAGTAAGAAATTGCAGTTCTAAAAATAAACCTTGAAAATTGTAAGACCCAGAGATAGGTAAGACTAGACAGCCCATGGCCTCTCAGGTTATCCGCCTAGAAATATTTCCTTTACCACATTCCTGAGTGCCTCCAATAGTGACAAGAGTGTCTAATGTATGGCCTTCATTGGAACAGCCAAAATACATTCAGAGAAGTCTCTGCTTCGAAAATAGCCCAAGTTGAACTGTACGGCACAGTCAAAATCAGCACAGGAAATGCTTTATGACACTTCGTATTATGTCCTAAACTGTTCTATGGATAATGTTTATGTCCTAAAATATTTTGCAAAATTTTTTCCAAACTTTTTAATTCCACAAAAGTTATGGGTCCCAAATTTTGGGTGAATTTTGTTAAGAATACTTTTAAGTTAAGAATAACTTGGTTCAAAAGGTCTTGCCTTATGGTGCACTGTTTTGCCCAGTTAAGGGTTAACAAGAAACAGAGTTTCAGTATTACATAGATAAGGTGATAGACATCAACTGCACCTCAAAGGAAGATGTCTTGAGAACCCTAGAGGCTGATTTCACCTCGCCTCACCTCTGAAAGCCATGGCGTGGGAGGTAGGAATTTGCGGTAAATGCAAAACAAAATTCTGGAATTTGGAAAATTTGGAAAGAGAAGCTGGAACACAAAAACTGTGTATGTGCATGTGTACAATGAATCCTATCCATACTTCCTGTTCGAAAATGTGACTGCTGCCAGTAAGCTGCCTTTGATGTTTGGAATTCCAATGATGGAGGAAAATCAGCCAATGGAAACCGAATTGAAGAATTCCCTTCTGAAACCTTTTTCTAAAGTTGGTTTTCTCCGTCACTGAACCTGGAGATAATCTTCTACAGGTTGTTTTTAAAAAGAACGACACAACGGCCCCACTTATTGCTAAATGAATTTCCCAAAGGTTTCCACGCTTTGAGACATGTGTAGGTCACAATCAAAGTTGCGGGTCCTTTGCTGCATGTAAACACTCAAGATGAGTTTACATGCAGCAAAGGACCCACAACCTTGATAGGGAAATGTTGCTCTTGGATTCAGCGCATCTTTGATCCCTACTCAGCGAGGAAGTTTGCGTGAGAAAGCACATTCCCTTAACTGGCAGATGCAAATGTTGTTTTAAAGATTCCTCTGGAGATTCCTGAAAGTTTCAAAGTCACTAAAAAGCCTAAACATTGGTGGCCAATTTTTTTTTTAAGCGCTTGTTAAATTGCTATCTTAGCCTGAGTTGCTAATGGCTTAAAATAATGGGATGAAATATTGGAAAAAGAGAGAAAATGTATTGTTGAGTGGGCTTATACAATTCTGTCTCCCTATTAATAAGAGACAACGAGCTTTATTTTTAACGAAAACTAAAACTTCAAGGAAGGGCACCAGTCTCTTGCGGTTCTTGGCCTAGAGTTTTTCCCATCTTGCAAGGTTCAATCCAGCATCTAGAGTTATGCAATCAATTCAGTGCAGCTACGAATATGTCATCCTCAACACGACTCTATCTGGAAATTGAAAACTTAAGATATGTGCTTAGAGAGAGATTGGAGCTAAGTTAATAAAACTGCAATACAAACAGGACTTGCTATTGCTATTGTAAGGTAGGCTCTTTAATTTGGAGGGCGTTGCCCTCCTCGTTGGGATAAAATGAATGGCTGTGCCAAACTCAGGGTTGTTTTTTTACGTCCCAGGTTACTTGCCAGGTTTTAAAAAAAGAGTGAAAAAGAAAGAGAATATTTTGCAGAACTGCCTCGCCTGCTTAAAAAACAGCACGCCCTTTCTCTTACTTGACACAAAGCTGGTCAAATACTTAACTGCAGCCTTTATGATTCATGTTCAATTCGAGGTGGATACTCCCAGGTTGAGACTGAGGAGAAGGGGCCATGCCAGTATCCAAGCTGTGCCATACTGTGCCTCATTTTTAATTGTGACCTTGTTAGAGGAAGTATACTCTTTAAAGGGTTTTTTTTTTGGTCTTTTGCAACAGTATCAAGGAAGATCAGTTTGTTTGAAACATAAATCAATGGAAATACATTGTGGCTTTTTTTTTTTTTTTTTGCCTCTTAAGTTTAGTTTGCAATTTTCAATTCCTTATTTTGTACATTGTATGTGTTACCCATAAGTAATGTGTTTACAAATGCATGCAATGAGGGAGCTGTTGAAATTCCCAACTTAGTTTTGTTCTCGCCCTTCTATGTCACTAAGCAGAGCAACCATAATATTCCACATATTTATTCTACAATATTAACATAATAATATCCAACATACTAGTCATAATATTTACTTATCCCTTTTAACATATCTTCTTTATTTTGTTTCTCTGTTTCTAACTTCCATTTTTATTACTTAACCATTGGTAAAATAGATCCCATATTCAGTTTAATTTGTCCCATTTTAAGGAGAGACTGGAAAGTCACTTATCTGAAATGATAGAGATTATCCTGCTTGAGCAGGGGGCTGGACTAGAAGACCTCCAAGGCCCCTTCCAGCTATTCTATCTTCTATACTGCACAGGAAGTTCTTGACTCGTGATCAATCATTTAATGACTACTTGAAGTTCAAAAAAGCTGCTTACAATTCATCCTCAAAGTTACGACTGCCACACTATCCCTGTGGTCAGGGGTTTGCATTTCAAGATGCTTGGCAATCAGCTCATACTTACAAGTGGTTGAAGCATCCCACAACCATGAGAAATCACTTCGAGAAATCCATTGGATAAGCTAGATTTGGATTTATGGCCACATGAACATCCCCCAAAGTATTTTAGTGTATCTTGGACCAATTTCCACTCGCATCCTAAACTCCCTGGCTGGACTATGGCATAAATAACTCATTCTCAACCATAGCAATTTTAAGATGTGTGGACTTCAACTCCCAGAATCCCCCAGCCAGCATAGTTTGCTGGGGTAACCTGGGAGTTGAAGTCCACACATCTTAAAGTTCCTGAGGTTGAGGAGTACTGTTATAATTTTAAAAAAGGGGGGTACTTTGGTCACTGACCAGCAAAACAAATTATGTTCTAAGTCCGAGTCTAGTTTCTCCATCTGTTATTGAATGCATGGGACTCAGAATTTTATTATTATTTGTTTTATTTATTAAATGTTTATGCCACCCACCTTCCCTGTCTCCTGGTTTTTGCCACAATCCCTGTACCACACTGGCTTGACATCAACCCCAAATTTGAACCTAGAACCCATTTTAGATCACTTCCCTCTTGGTTGTTTCTTGGCTTCGCCCTGGGTAAGCTTCTTCCTGTTTGTTTCTTTATTCTGGAAAATATCAGAATAAAAAAGGGAGAATGTGTGGCTAGATAATGACTAACAAAAGTTTTGAAGGAAGTCTTCCGTACAAAGAAGGAAATCTAAAGCACATAAGTCATGATTCTGGTTTTTATCTGTCTTTCCAGCTTTTAAGCTTACATTCCCTCTTCCGCTACAAGGACACAAACTTACATTAGGGAGAAAAATACCTATAAAACTTTAGTGATAACCTTCAAAGTTCAAATTATATTATTAATTGCATAGGTTTTGCCTCAGACCTGGGCATTCGATGGGACAAGGAAGTGAAGGTGTACATTTTCAATCAATCAAAATAGGCTAGAAGGGACCTTGGAGATCTTCTAGTCCAACCCCCTGCTTAAGCAGGAGATCCTATACAATTTGAGACAAGTGGCTGTCTCATTTCTCCTTAAAACCTCCATTGATGAACCATCATGAGAACAGTGACGGGGGAAGAACATGCATTTTATTTATTAAATTAAATTGATATGCCAGGCCTCTCACTGTTAAAGTGACTCTGAGCAGTACATTCTGACAGCATCACACTAATGTCATACCTGACATATTTGTGTGAGGTATTCTGGCACAGGTATGCCTAATTGCAGTATCTGATGCCGTCATGTGAGCGGAATACTTTTGGCATAATCACAGCTTCTATATTGGTGCAGCTGTCAGGGATACAGCTTTTCTTCTTTCACTAAAGTCGATTTTCCGAGTATAATCTCTCATAATCGATAAATGATGTAGATTATGAAGATCAAGAAATAATATACTGTTTTCTCCCTCTTCCAATAGTCACGGTCTGCAGAAATTCTTTTCCTGTCGGGGAATCGCAATTGCTGTCGATTATTTTTGGAAACGTGGTCACAGAAAGATTACAGTTTTTGTCCCACAGTGGCGAACACGGAAAGATTCTAATATCACAGGTAGGGAATAAAAACAACTATCCCGGACCTGTGGATTTAAGACTGAGGCTCCCAACGTCATACCTACCACTTATCCAAATTTCAACTTTCGTTTTTCCAACAAGTCCCAAGAAGCTTAGCTCAAACATTAAAAGAAGAGAAACTTTGTAACTTCACAACACACCTAAAGGCCAGCTGTCAACTCTTCTGTTCTGACCAAGGCTTCTGAGACCGTAATTACGCACACGCTTATTTTAAAAACAAGTCTTGTTTTATTGCAATGCTGGGAATTATTTTTATTCCCAGCCGGTAATGACTCTCAAATAGTTCCACAAGATAAGCACCCACCTTTCTTTCCTGTGAAGTGCTGCCAATAAAAGAAGCATCCAATGAACTAGGGGGAAAAAATCAACCCAAGTACAAAGAGCTTCAAGAATGAATCTGAACCGAAAGAATGACTTTACTTCCTGCATAGGTTTCGTCATCTTTGCCTGTCCGTTATATCTTATGGGAGGGGCAATCACCTCCCAGCCTTACTCCCGAGTCTCCCCTTTTGTCTGAGCTGCTCTCGACTTCTAGCAGCTCTGCGCACACGTGCACTGGGAACAGGCTCCCCTTGTTCCTCTGCCTCGCTGCTGTCAGACTCTGAAGGCTCCGGAGGCAGCACCCCACTCCCAGATGGTCCCGGCCCCATCTCTGCATCAGATGCAGAACCCTCGTCCAAGTCCTCCTCAGACTCCCTGACTGGTCCTCGTTCTTCCCCACTGTCCAATTCCGCTGCCGGCTACACCGGCTACTGGTGAACCACAACACCTTCCATCTCCATACCTGTCACTGGCTTTTTGTTAAGCACTGCAGTGTCGGAAGTGCTTTGGTGATTAGATGAATTTAAAGTAGCCATTGTGCACTCTGGCTTATTTGGTGCCTTCCTACCAAAATAAAATACCAGGTAATCCTCGACTTACAACTTACAATTGAGCCCCAAATTTATGTTGGAAAGTGAAACATTTGTTCAAGAGAGTTTGGCTCCATGTTACCCCAGTCGTTAAGAGAATCACTGCAGTTGTTAAGTCAGTAACATGGTCGTTTTAAGTGAATCCGGGTTTCCCCGTTGACTTTGCTCTTCCAAAAGTCACCAAAGGTGATCCCTGGGAACACTGCAACCGTCATAAATACGAGTCAGTTGCCAAGCGGCTGAATTTTGGTCCCAGGGGATGCTGAAATGGTCATAGGTGTCAACGAGGGTCGTAAGTCGCTTTTTTTTTTCAGTGCCACCGTAACCTTGAACGGTCGTTAAATGAACCGTTGTACATCGAGGATCGCCTGTGTATCCGTTTCATTCTCTTTCTTTTCTTTCCCCTCTTTTTGTTTTTCTTTTCTTTTCATAGAGCAGCATTTCTTAACCCAGCTCCAAGATGTTGGCATTTTGGCACTTACCCCAGCAAGAGTCGTATGCGGGGCTAGAATTGCATCTCACGATGACAGGTAAAAAGAGAAGTTTTTTCCTGATTTTCAGTTCCGTGTCTCTGGGTTGTTTGAAAGAGAAGCTGCTCACCTGACTCGTCCTCTAGGAAGGTGTCCCTAAGGGAAAGTTAGATATTTGAAAATGTGTTGCTTGTCAGGTGATGAACATACAATAAATGAATTTACTATTATTTTTTTTTAAATAGGGTTTTTTCCCCATCAATGTTTTCATAAACCTCTCTTCCTGTGTTTCCCCGAAAATAAAACCGGGTCTTATAGCAATAGCACTTAGTCTTGTATACCGCTTCACGGTGCTTTACATTCCTCTCTAAGCGGTTTACAGAATCAGCCTATTGCCCCCAACAATTTGGGGTCCTCATTTTACCAACCTGAAGGATGGAAGGCTGAGTCAACCTTGAGCCTGGTGAGATTTGAACTGCCAAATTTCAGGCAGCCGGCAGTCAGCACAAGGAGCCTGCAGTATTGCAGTCTAACCACTGCGCCACCATGGCTCATTATATTAATTTTTGCTCCAAAAGACGCATTACGGCTTAGACTCATCTTGAACATCACTGCCAACAATATTCAGAGTCTTGTGTCTTTCTCTTATGCCTCATATGTAAGCTCACATCTGGGCTCTTAACCATGTTAACTCCTCAGCAAACCAAAGATAATGCTGGAATTAGTATATAGAGACGGGCCACTGGGAGGCGATGTCATCCAATATTCCCACCAGCATTCCCAAAGTCTCTGTATTCCAAAGCTCGGTGAGAGTTCTGGCTGAGCTGTGTTCCATTGTGCTAAAGAAAGTGCCAGTTGTAAATCAATTAGATCCCATTTGGATGCCTAGGGCAGAGCATCCTAATTATTAATTCCCTTTGCAAAGGTCAGTGGTGGCGATAAATCACTAGTTTGATGATAGGATACAGCCAACTTTTGCCCAGAAACTGCACATTAATCAGGCCTTCATCAGAGTTGATTGAGTGCATTATTATTAAGTTATTTATCAAATAGCTAGGAATCCCTATGAATCTCTAAACATGAATTAATGTTGGTATCACCACTAATTGTCACTGTTCCAAAGATTAGAAGTACGTAATCACACGAGGAAAAAAAGGGGAAATTGAGGAAATAATGAACAGAGTTCTCCAAATTTAATAAATGAATTAAATGTTACAATAATTTTAAATTCTTTGTTATAAACAAACTAAAAAATAATAATTATAAAATCTAAATTTTCATTCATGACTACTATATATCCTTTCCACCTTTTTTTTTTAATGTAGCTCTTTATTCTGCTCTTTTAAATGTTTAGATAAATTATTTATTAAAAAAAAGAATGTATTCAGCGCCTGGATACAGATTCTCCCAAATGTGTTGTAGATTTCTGCTGCACCTTGCTGAAAAAACTGGAGGTGTTGTTGTTACCAATGATAACTTCAGAGAATTTGTAGACGAATCTCCAAACTGGAGGGAGATTATTCAAAGGAGGTACTTGCCTTTTTGATTGCCTTGCTGGTTGTGTGTGTGTGTGTGTGTGTGCGTGTACATAAACACATTATAAACACATCTCCCTATAATATTTTAGTGGCTGCTTTCTTATCCTCCCTATATAATATGGCTCAGCGATCAAGTTTGAGACCTGAGTGCACGAAATGGGGCGAGCTCCCAGTACTTGCCTCAGCTCCTGTCCACGAGCAACTGAAAAGCAGCCAAATGCAAGTAGATAAATAAGTACCACTCTGGTAGGAAGGTAACAGCGTTCTGTGTGTCTTAGCTGGACCATGGAAGTGCTTCTTGGTCAACCCTGCCTCTCTTGGCTAAGCAACAGAGATGACTGCGCCCCCTCGAGTCGGACCCCACTGGACAGGGGGAGCCTTTGCCTTTCTTTTTCTCATTACAACCCTCCCTCCCTCCTGCTGCCTTAGGCTTCTGCAATACACTTTCGCTGGAGACATTTTCATGGTGCCCGATGATCCCCTGGGACGAAATGGACCCGGACTAGACCGTTTTCTTCAGGAGGAAACTAGTTTCAGGTAGAAGATTTCTTGCGGGGGTGGGAGAGAGTTCCCCAAGCTCTTTTTTCTTCTTCTTCTTTTGTCAAAAGAGGAAACGGAAATTAAAAAATAAAAATAAAAGAGTTTTGCAGAGAACTGAGAAGATCACGAGATACAGAAAAAGCCGTGACAGCCTTAGCACAAGCAGGAGTGGCCCTTCTGCTGTCAGATTTGTTTTATCTTTTGTTGCCATAACTGAACATAGAAGGTGTGGGCATAGTTGCGTCACACACACAGACGATTAAGATAAGCCAAATTTTTAATCTTATTAACAAGCCTCTTGCGTTTAGAAACGTGGTAGCTTCCTTGTAAATGTGAAATTACCCCTGGCATCGAAGAGCATGCAAGAGATGGATCTGTGAGGCAATTGTGTCAAAGGTTGACATTTAAGTTGTAAAACATATTGTAACAAGTCACGAAGATCTAACCCATTTTTTTAAAGTTCTCTTGCCTGCTTATGTCAAATGATATACAGGGTCTCCTGCTTGGTTGGACTAGAAGACCTCCAAGGTCCTTTCTAACTCTTATTATGCTGTTATTCAGATAAAGTACAAATGAATGTAATTTTAAGTGGTAGATGTCAGGTTCATTAAGGCCACAGTACGAGCAATATTAGGGATGCCGTGGCTCAGCGGCTGAGATGCTGAGCTTGTTGATCAGAAAGGTCAGCAGTTTGGCGGTTCGAATCCCTAGCGCCGCGTCACGGAGTCAGCGCCCGTTACTCGTGCCGGTTTCTGCCAACCTAGCAGTTTGAAAGCACGTAAAAAATGCAAGTAGAAAAATAGGGACCCCTTTGGTGGGAAGGTGACAGTGTTCCGTGCGCCTTCGGCATTTAGTCCTGCCGGCCACATGACCACGGACATGTCTTCGGACAGCGCTGGCTCTTCGGCTTTGTAACGGAGATGAGCACCGCCCCCTAGAGCTGGAAACGACTAGCACGTAGGTGCGAGGGGAACCTTTACCTTTATGAGCCATATTAAGAGCCAATTAAGTGCAGTCGCTCTCTCTTAGCCCTGAGAAGAAGGCAGTGGCAAACAACTTCTGGTATCTTGCCAAGAAAACCGCGGGGACCTGCCCAGGAGTCAACACTGACTCCAAGACAGCAAACCAGTAAGATTATCAAATACTGGCTGTCTTTGTGATGATTGATGGTAGGCCATCTTAGATGGACAAGACTGTTTGTTTACCAATCAAAGGCGCTCATACTGAATGCTGTTCTTTTCTTCTCCAGAGCTAGGCCAACCCCGTACAGCCTTGCAAGCGGAAGCCATCTTCCTTTGGGGATGTCCCCTTTCCTGATGCAGTCAGAAGGGGGCGGACACTTACTCCCAAACCCCGTTTCCGGACTCATCCCTAACTTGCACCAGTTTCCTACAACGTCCCTGCTAAACTCTGGCCCTCCCCCATCTCCAAGATCGGCCACCGAAACGACCCGTTTAAAAGAAGCCTTGAAAAAAATATTCCCAACTTCAGAGCAGAAGGAGAAGATCGAGGAGATCCTGGCACAGCATCCCCACATGAGAGACATGAACGCTCTGTCTGCATTGGTCCTTGATTTAAGCTGATGAACTAAAACTCCCCCCAAAACACTTCAGATTTTGCAGTTTGGATTGTTAATGTAAAGAGATGCCTCTTGCGTTGAAGTCAGGCCATCTGTGAATAGTCAAAACTTAACCCTTTTTGTATAAAAACAAAAATATGAATATTCAGAGGATTTGAGATATGCCCTCTTTGTTCACTTAAGTTAACAGCTTTGTTCCTTTTTTTTTCCCCTGTTTGTTTTACAAATTTGTATTGCGTATTTTTTGAATGAAAAAATAATAATTTATTAACGAGTTGGCTTTAAATCATTTGCAAATTTGTTTTGAGAAGTGATCTGAAAGCAGCTCTAAATTCTACTGAAAGTAAATTCACACCTCTAGAGTAAATGGCAGGATAAATGGATTTCATTCCTTACGCATTGGATTCTAGTTGCCGAGTAACTCCTTATTAAACTGTGCCCATTTGAGGAACCTAAATAAATGCAAGAAACTTTGAGTTGCACTCAGTAGGGGTGGAACGGGACAACTTGCCGCGGGACAATTCAACAATTTTATTTATTTAAAATGGTTTTTTAAAAATACATTTTTGTCATTCACCATTTCATTTTTGTCCCTCCTTTTGCATCCTTTATTTAATGAATTCTCTTCCATCGGTTCTTTGATATTATGTAACTTTTGCCCTGTGGTGAGTTGGCCCTGGTGAAATGGCCTAAACCCATGTAGTGGAACCTCTGAAGAACTAGGGCAGGAGAACCGGTGCATCTTGTCTCCTCCTGTAATTTTTTAATTTTTTTTAGGAAGACAGACTGCCATTTGAGAGGACTTAGCAAACTGCTAGGTTCAAATGGCAGATGTACCAAGGCAAACATTTGATCTGATTCCGTGCACTAACTCTTGTGATATTTTGTGCTCTTCCTTGTTTTTGGAAACATACAAAAAAGGCATTTTATTCATAGGATTTTTTACAGAGTAATAGAAACATGTTCTATATATGACACACCTGAAACAAATAGCATTTGCAGAAAATTTGTTCCTTTTGGAAGCCCTTGTAAGATCGTCCTTGTCTATGTGTCTATGTGCGGCCATAATGATCTCACTTGATTGTAATGTGCCACTTATCATTATATGGTATCGAGAGTTCTTAAAGCTTATTTTGTATGCAACCTGGGAGTGGATATCGGTGAACTTAAATAAGAAAGGGGAAAAAAATGTAAGGTGCAGAGTCGCACATAGTACAAAATTTTACAATGGGCTCTTCTTAAAGGATAGCTATGATGTTTACAGGGGTCTCCTTATGAATGAAACCACCTTTGGTAAGTTGGAAACTTAGATTTTCATAGCATGTCAGAGATGGTAATTTGCATGCAAAAATTGCAAATTCGTTTGGGATGCCTGCAGTTAAAACCAGAGAAGATCGATGTCTGAAAATCTGGAGAATAAGAACAAATAAGGACTGGACAATTTTTCTTTTCTTGCCTGTTTCTGCCATTTTAGTGCAACACTCTTAACACGTATTTCCGTTCCCCGGGAAATCCTCTCTGCTTCAAACGAATGATAAGAGGTGTTCATCAGTCTATTTATACTGCAGATGTGTCTGCCAGCAATTTTGTTTACTCATCCTTCACTACAAATATTTTTGCAAAGAAGCTCCTAGCACAAGCAGATTACACAATGTGCTCACGTAAAGAAAATGTCTATATACAGTATGAGATTTTTGGACTACGCCACAGCTCTTGACTTGGTTAATTAAGAACTTCGGCTAACGGTGGGAATACCGGAGCCCCCCCTTTAATGGTCCATGAAATAAAAGTCATTAAGGGGTGAATTGCCAGCAGAGTCTAATTCGCAGCAGGGTTGGGCTGACTTTTGTTATTTATGAAAGCGTATCACGGTTCATTGATGCTTTAAATTTACAAAGTGGTAATTTGTGTTAAGTCATCCTGGGTGTGTGCTTTGCATAACAAGCCAAGTGTTTCGCGGTGCAATCTAAGTTTTGGTTTGTTGCCGGGTTTTTTTTGGCAAAAGCCCTTGCGAGTTTTCAACAGTCCATCAGAAAATCACATATGGATCAGTGTGATTTTGCACTTCTTTCTGAGCTACAGTCTAAAGCAGTTGGTAAAATATACTTCAAAAGAAGAACATAGAAACCTTTAAGTGTAACCAAGGCAGGTTCTTCAAATTCAAGCTAGCCGGGTTCCCTAATAGAGCTACAGCAGTCCTGAAGTTAACAATAGTTCATTTAGTGACCATTACATCACTGAAAAAGGGACTTATGACCATTTTTCACATTTGGGTCCATTGCCACATCCCCATGGTCAAAATTCAAATGCTTGGCAACTGATGAATATTTATGACAGTTACAGTGTCCCAGGATCCCCTTTGAGAACTTTCTGACAAGCAAAGGCAACGGAGAAGCCAGATTCACTTAACAACCAGGTTACTATCTTAAATGATTCACTTAACAACCATGGCAAGAAAACGGAGCAAAACTCACTCACCAACAAAAATTTCAGGCTGAATTAACATTATCTGTAGCTCTCCAATTAGGACTGGTCCCTTAGCGACTGTTTGAAGTTACGACTAAAAAGGGGGCTTATGTCAACTCATAAAATATTTCTATGGTCTTTTTAGAGTTGCCAAGAAAAAGGGAGGGGGGAGCAGTGCAGCTGCTTGCAAACCAAAACTGCATTCCATCAATGTTTTCAAAGATAGTAACTGGGCGACTGAAGTTTCTGTCACGGAAATATCTAACTGGAGAGCATGATTGATGGATGACTCCTGGCTATGGATGTGTCCCATTGGAGAATATGAATTATGATACACCCAGGGGGTGGGGGAAAACCAGGGTCAAGGGTGACAATGATGTGTCTCAGAGTCAATTACACACAGGCAATGCTGAACAGTTTAATTCCCAATAAATCCTTTTTTTAAGTTTTGGAAGTTTGGCTCGAGACTCATGATTTAAATGGGGGTAACTGCCGGAATCCTGACAGCTTAATCAGAACTCTGATCCAGATTCAGAGTTCTGACTTCTGCCCCCCCCCCCAGATTACCTGACCACATTTTGGGCCCTAGGCCAGCAACCTGCCTTGACCACTGTTTGCAGCTTTCCCCATGACCCTGGTTTTGCCAAAAAACTGGCTTTTATTTCCAGTTTCCCGTTTTTAATGGAGCTCTTTTTGTGTTTCAAACTTTCAAACTGTCTGAATTTCTTTGAGTCATATTCCAACAAAGTGGGATCCCATACAGGATGTGAATAAGGACCTGGTTTAATTTTTTTTTAAATTCTGTCTCCCCCCACTGAAAGGAACACGAGACAAAACTCAGAAAGGCTAAAAGTTGCACGTGCTAGTTTTCTTTACTTCAAAAAGGTTATAGCCAGGGGTGTCCAATCCTGCTAACTTTTAAGACCTGGGGACTTCAACTCCCAGAATTCCTCAGCCAGCATAGAAATTGGCTGAGAGTTGAAGTCTTCAGGTCTTAAAAGTTGATAACCTTGTACCCTCCTGCTATAGAGGCAAGACCATTTTGGTTGCCACAATGCTAGAAAGCTCCCTACGGAGGAAATGCCAAGTATGTTTGCAAAATCTGCGAAAGATAAATGTGCAACGTTTTTCTTTACGTGGGAACAAGATAACATTACGTTTTTTTCAGAATAGAGATGGCCACAGAGCTAGCAATCTTTGATTACTAGATTAAACACTGAAGTTCAGTACAAAAGTTATCTGTTCGATCCGCGTGGCAAGTTTCCCAGATCCCCAGGGTCAAATTTTCAGCAGATAATTAAGGTTCTTGGATATGATGGAGAGTGTTACGAAGAAATGACGGCTATATATGATGAATGCACATCCTGACTGCCAGATTTTGTTTGCAGAAATTAATCTTGGAATAATCCTGGAACACCATGTCCTCAAAAGAAACAAATGTAGGTGAAATAACAATAATTAGATTCAAGGTAAGTAATTGCTGTGTGAACACCTTGGCTCACCTGTTACACCTGAGGTGTCCAACCTTGGCAACTTTAACACCTGTGGAGCGTTGTGCAATAAGTTCAGATGGTGTAATAAGATTGTGTGTTTGTTACTAGGATTTTCTGTCTTCACTGTGAGTTGTGTTGGGGAGCGGGGTACATGAAGGGAGGCTCAACCAATCTCATTATACACATGTTGTATTCTGATAATAAAGGTTGATTATTTATTTGATTATTTACTTCAACTTCCAGAATTCCCCAGCCAGCAAGGTTGGCAGATGAATTCTGGGAGTTGAAGTCCATAGGTGTTAAATTTGCCTAGGTTGGAAAACTCCTGGGTTAAATAAAGACCTAGATCAGGTTAAATGATAACACACCAGGTTGTGTGAGCCTCTCGAAACAAAATTTTCTTTTGGAAATTCTTGCAGCTCAGCTTGGGGGGAAAAGCATATATAAATTATTGCCACCAGATGGTGGTAGAACCTTGAAAATATATGTACTGAAGAAGCTGGTCTGGATTGTGGAGCAGCAACCAGCCTCCTATAGCTCAAAGTTACTGTAACTTTGGCAGGAATGTAACTGATTATTTGGGGTTTAAAAAAATAAGAAACATAAGGAGGAACAAACCTGTTCCAGTGTCCATCATTTGAACCTCAAAAAGTCCTGCAAACAAACACACATTCCACCAAGAGAATTCATCTTGGCATCAAAAAATCAGTGGTGGGATTTAGAGCAGGGATCTCTAAACTTAGCAACTTTTAAGACTGTGGACTTCAACTCCCAGAATTCCACAGCCAGCATGGTTGGCTAGGGAATTCTGGGAGTTCAAGTCCACAATCAAGTCCACAAAGTTGCCAAATTTGGAGATCCCTGGTTTAGAGGTTGTGGGTGGCAATGTTATGGGTGGGTAAGATAGAAATTTGCCTCCCGTATATTTCCCACTCCAGATCCCAGCCTTAACCGTCTCAAAAATTATTGATGCCAGAGTCAGGGACACACAAAGTTTTTTTAAATACAAACACAAAAACATTCTTTTATCTACCATTCATCTTTCTTCTACCTCTATCTTCCATTTATCATCTATTGATCTATCTACTATCTCTCTCTTTCCTTTTCTCTTTCTTTCCTTTTCTTTCCTTGTCTTTCTTTTTCCCTTCCTTTCTTTTCTTTGTCTTTTCTTTCTTTTCCTTCCTTCCATTGACTCAGCCTTCCATCCTTCCGAGGTGGGTAAAATGAGGACCCAGAGTGTCAGAGGGCAAAATGCTGACTTAGAGAAGCACTGTGAAGTGGTATATAAGTCTAAGTCCTTC